CCCACACCCACACCCACACCCACACCCACACCCACCCCACACACCCACACCCACACCCACACCCACACCCACCCACACCCACCCACACCCACACCCACCCCACCCTTCGAGCTTGTGATCAGCGAGTTTGCGCTTCGAATGACTTGCTGATTGTTGCCTCGAACCAGGTCTCAGTTTCTCAATTAGTGTGCCAAGCAGTAAAGACTGGACTAGACTTTCACGAAACTGCAGAATGGTCACTTTGCTTGCCGCGTAGTTTTCCTTGTATATCAAATAGCTATTTATTAGTGCCGTCCCAAAAACTAATTCAAATGCTACCTTTCGGTACCACTTTATTGACCGCCTGAGGCACGTGTAATACGATGATAGCTGATCAGATAAATTACTAGCTAGTCTCTCTTCATTGTAATCTAGTACAACTTGTGGCTTCATGATGCTTTCATTTTTACTATTGGTATTTCCAGTATCTACCACAGCTGCTGAAGGGTGTGGGTGTGGGTGTGATTGAAAGGAAGGCGATCACCCACACCCACATGTTCAACGCTTAACCAGCCACATTAAAGATCCGAATTATCTCGGCTCCTATCCTCTTTCAAGTCTAACATTCAAGTATAAGATCTTTCAGATATTCTAGGGCAATAAATATACCAACATTATCATCGCAGAAAATGCCCGTAATGAGATGGTCGATAAATGCAATTGATGAAAAAATCAAACCATCATTCCTCCGGTTAGAGGCCGGCTACGTTAGCCATTCTGTTACAGGAGTACAACTATGGGTAATATTTGGAGGATAATGTTCCTGAGTAGATTGTTTTTTTCATAGATCTTTCGATTTAGTTTCGATTGAAATGAAACATGAATAGTTTGGTCTTGACTATCTACTTCTGAACGTTTCAAGTGATTGCTCTGAGTAAATTTCAAAGAGAACTCAAACGAATGTGGATGTGTTTAATTATAATCACATTAATTAGTTATGAACAATATGGACATGTGAAGATAAAAACGAGAACACATAATATCAATGACCCAACAGGAAAGAAACTGGAGTAAGAACGTGAAAGCTTGACTTGATGTAGATAGTTTATTAGATTGCTAAAAGAATGTAGAACAAATGTGAAAGTTCTATCAAAGCTGTCGGTCTATTGGTGATGTCTATCCTTCCTGATAATCACTTGCGTCAGTTACTCTCTCACATTATTCTTGCACACGTTCATATCGATTCAGTTGAAGTACTGGCAAAAACAAAATATGAACGATACGAAGTTCGAAGAAATTAAACTAGAACACTTCCAAATGCACATATTTATGAGTATCTTTCTTCGAAGAGGGAAAAACAGATTCCAATACCTTGAAATTTCTTAGAATTTCTTGAAGTCGAATAGAATTCTCCAGCGTATCGTACATAAACCTTAGAGCTGTGTGAGGAACTTTTTTAATCAAGCTATTTCTCATTAATTTGAACGTCAGAAAGAAAATTTTCTACTATAATACGTAAACTTTTGATCACGACACATTTTTTGCTAACCGTATTCTATATCTGTCGTCACAATAAAACAGCACTTTCAGTCAACAGAGAACCAAAAGAAATCCGTAACAACAGAAGACATATTACTTTATTATTTTTTATTATTCATCCAAAATGACTTCAAGCAATTTGTCATTCATGATTTCCTAATAATTATTTTTTCAGCAGCAACTATACTAAGAGATGGCTTGGTTTATTGATTATGGTTGAAGAAGTATTATGATGGTGGACATATATGACTATGATCAAATTAGGTAAGCGGCTAGATGGAGACGGTTATACTGTCGACATCATGTTGCAAGTGGTGAATGCGAGTGTTGAGTTTTAGATGCATCGAGGTATTGCAGTTGTATTTCCTCGGTAAAGCAAGTGTAAAAGGTCGATGTGTTAGAAAGAATATATAGCCCGATTTCTCCGTTGGAGGTCTGGAGAAATAGAAATGATTTGGGTGTAGGTGTGAGTGTGGGTGTGAGTGTGGGCGTGGATGTGGGGTGTGAGTGTGGATGTGGGGTGTGAGTGTGGGTGTGGATGTGGGGTGTGAGGTGTGGAGTATGGGTGTGGGTATTTTCATCATACACAACGTCACCCACACCCACACCAAAAGTCACGCTACACTTCAAAAGCCTTGGAGTTTTCCTCTATCTCTTCGAGAAATGAAGTGACTTCTATATTACTGATAAAAGAGTATACATAGTTCATACTCATAATAAAAACGTTGAAAAATACTGCTTTGAAGTACAGTGTTTCAACAATCACTTTACACGTTAAAGATTTGTTTTTCAATTCACGTGTATACTACTGGTTTAATCATAATATCATCACTACATCATTTTTACAAATAATCGACATGTAGTTCATTCGCTTTCACACATTTTATTCAACTGCGTGTGGTTTCATTCAATACATTCTGAAGGGTGTGTTTTTGATTTGCACTGTACAACGACTACCATTCTGGTTTCAAGGTCTCTCAAGCGTTACTTTAACGTATAAAGCTACTGTTGGACACTCTAGACTGAAAAGCAGTATTTTTCAGCATTTTTATTATGAGCATGAACTATGAGTACTCTTTTATCAGCGGTAAAAACTCATCCCATTTGGTCAACAGATAGAGAAGAACTCCAACATTTTTGGAGTGTAGCGTGACTTTTGGAACACTCTGTATATATCTTCAGATGTGTTCCTGTGTGTTCTCGCTCTGTATTCTTGTTTCTCTTCTCTCTGATCTATTTTGTCCTACCTTTACGTTTTTGGTGTATTCCCAATAAAATCGAGGTCAAGTTCACGCAAACTTATAGTTAAAATGCAAGAAGCGGTTCTTTTCTTCTGCTTCACTTAGTTCTTCACAGAAAGAACAAGATACAGTTGGTATCTAATTCAAAAATTAAAAAAAAACAGTTCTGAAAAAATAAAATTTCAATGGGTGAAAACTTACTAATATTAGCGCCAGAAGTCAGTGCACTTGAATGTTTTTTGAATAACTTTCGATAGGAACAAGTTAAAGACTTGAGGTTTTTTAGCAATCGATAGAAGATTATAAGGGATACATTTTTATATAAAATTCAAGGTTTAAATAATCAGACACAGTAGGAGTGATTATTGAATCACTGAAAGAATAAGCACGTTATTTGGAAAAATCTCAGCAGAACAAGCTGAATCTTTCAGCATATATAGCCCTACTGTAGCCCAAACTTTCCTGAAAATATCATCGATAAGACTTGTAATGACGAGGGATGGTGTGCTAATCATTATACTGATCTTACATAAGGTCAGTATTCACTCAATATATTAGAAAATGACTTCAAATTTTGGCTGAATAAATACCATAATCTAGACTTCATATCTATGCAATAACATCATACTTCGGTTATAGAAATGGAGGAAAACAGCCAAAATTCAATGAAGAAATGATTTTCATAAAGTAAGTATCTTGAAACAAATCTTCCCAACTATATCAAGAGAAATGCAGGACTTAGTAATGTTTTCACCGTCTCTTCTCGTTCATATAATCAAAATATTATATAATTGCATAGGTATGAAGTCTAGATTATGGTATTTATTCAACCAAAAGTTGAAGTCATTTTCTAATATATTGAGTGAATGAGGGCCTTATATAAGATCAGTATAATGATTAGCACACCATCCCTCGTTATTACAAGTCTTATCGATGATATTTTCAGGAAAGTTTGGACTACAGTAGGGCTATATATGCTGAAAGTTTCAGCTTGTTCTGCTGAGATTTTTCTAAATAACGTGCTTATTCTTTCAGTGATTCAACAACCACTCCTATTGTGCCTGATTATTTAAACCTTGAACTTTATATAAAAATATGTCCCTTATAATCTTCTATCGATTGCTGAAAACCTCAGGTCTTTAACTTGTTCCTATCGAACGTTATTCAAAATACATCCAAGTGCACTGATTTCTGGCGCCGACATTAGTAAAAATTACGATGGACAAAGCTTGAAATGAAATAGGCAAATTTGAAATACAGACTGCCAGCATTTATTTGCAGGCATGTACAGTAAACATTGTTTGCAAGATGAAAATAATTATCTTAATATTTATTCAGTAAAATCAATATTTGAAGAGTCATTAAAGTTCATAGTTAATTTTTTGATAATTATTCAATGTTTATCACTTTGCTACATTGAGTTTATTAAGAAGTTGAATTAATTTGATTCTTGTAATCACACATACAGATTAATTAAGCCTATCTGTATAAAAATAAAAATAAGAACAAAAGATTTAACTAAGAAAAAAGTATCATTTATTTCTCACCATTTTTATCGAATAATATTAAAGAAAATTCCTTCATATATAAACTAAAGTCACAAATGGTCATTGAATAATTAATGATTCATTTTATTTCCAAATATGTTAGCTTTTCATCTTTGTTTATTCCAACGGACTATTTCTATATATTTGTATAGTAGGTCATTTATTCGGTTCTATCTATTTTAGTTGCAATAGCAATACTAGCAGATTAATAAAATATGTATGAAGTGATGTGTGAAAATAAAATTAATTATGTCAACCATTGTTTTGAAACATGGCAGTCATCCATCAGTATACGATGATAGTATTTTACAAACAATGAAATTAAAAAAATAATCAACAAATAATTTTTTTCTATTGCGCACTTGGATTGTCAGTTTCATTTGATTGCAACTAATCAAGCAAACAAAACGCATGTGTGTTCCGTTTGGTCTTCTTATCGTTCTTTTCTTCCTACATGTCTAGTTACACATACACACACATAGAATATCTTGCTTACTACTATGTTGGAAAAAAGCTTGACAATTAAACAAAAAACAGCCGACAAACAGAGAACAATATTATAAAAATTCTATTTATGATTTTTTAATTTTTTTCCCAATGAATCATGATAATGCATTCATTTTACTTTGTTTCGTTCTCCTTCTTCCTTACTACTTGTTTAGCGTACAAAAATTTTCGCTCGTTGGTTATTGTCGTTTCGTCGACAACACTCTTGAAATGACAAAATCGGACGAGACAAGAAGTCCTTGAGGTCGATAGCAATGAGCCAGAAAAAAAATGTCAATAAAAAGGATAAACAGTTCTATAAATATGAAAAGACGAGGTTGTGCCTTTTGCATTCAGTTAGTCATCGATCAACCCTTGATCGACAAAAAAGTTGGCAGAAACTGCTGCTAGTGGGGTAGCAACGATGGCCGGGATGTGGGTGTGGGTGTGCGTGAAATTAATATCAAAATCCCACACACGTACTATTGTATCACTTTTGAACAGAAACGCTAAGTATTATTTACTGAAAAAGTCTGGATTTTGAACATTTCTTCGCTTTGTTTCAGACATTTTCGTGTAGGTAAAGCACATACGTAGAACCTAGTTGTTAATGGAGGGTGATTTTTACATCTAGAAGACAAAGTCTATTATAATAATTAGAAAAAAAGAATTTTTTTAATTTTCCTGATTTTTTAACAATGTTTCTGAAGATTTTTTATTTCATCTATTCTGTTTTTATTAAATTATTGTTTTTTATGTAAGGTTGATAAAAAAAGAAAATCTAATAACATTGTTATCCCCTTTAGTTAATTACAACATTTTTGCTGTTGTTTTATTCAATGTGTACTGTTGTCCAATCGTCGAACGTTCTTCATTCTCATCAACTGTTCGAGAGAATCATTGAAGTGCACAACACTTGCAGCACCTACTTTTTAAGCACATTTCATTTTCCTCTTTCTGCCTGTCTCTCTTTTTTCATCAATCGAACGGTCTTCAATGAAATGAAAATATTTTTTTAAGTTTCGATTCGATGCGAGTGACGTACCATGCATGTCTTGACAACATCTACGACTCACTGTTTACTTTCACTTCTAACTTATTTTTGCAGTTCTGTAGCTGTTTCTGTGTCACAAATTGATTTGCATTGTTTTTCTCTTGCAGAATAATTATTATTTCGTATTTCAAAATTACCTGTTTTCACTGTTCGTTTTCAATAATCGCCGATCAACAAATATTGTCAATCTCTCTTTCGAACAGTTGCCTAACTACGAATTAGTAGTCACAAAGTTAGTTTTATTTTAGTTCTCTTAATACGTATGTTTATAAAAAAATTTTGTTATATAGAATTTTGACACAAGTTTTCATTAAAGCAACACAAGCCGGTGAATTTCAAACCACTTATTCCGTAAGTTGACTACATTTATGGTCTCTCATTCATTGAAACATCCATGAAAAAATTCACAGGATGGGGGTATCAGTTATGAAAAATATAACACATATACTCAAATCTAAAGCTAACTCTACGCGCCTCATACATACACATCCGCTAATATCCTCGATTGCGGGTGTGGGTGTGGGTGTGGATGTAGATGGACAGTGTGGATGTGGGTGAATAGAAAAATGACACCCACACCCACACCCACACCCTCATGCTCACCCTCAAGATCGATAACAATCAAGTGAGATATGAATAAAATCTATTTCGCTTTCCAAACATGTAGCGTTAACTATACCTTCAAATATTTAATTCTATTCGGGATCTATTTTCCGAGATATTATGATCTCGTAAACAACGTTGGAACGCGATTTTCTAAAATTCATAGACAGCAAAAATAGATACAACATTTTTATAAAAGGTTTTCCACAAAGAAATCAATATGCTTTGACTAAAACTCTTTTTCAAAACACCTAAATCATAGACTGATTGCCAGTGCAATGAAATTTTTAGGATCGTTAATAGAGTAATATCTGGTATATGGTAAGTAGACTTGTCATCAACATTGTACGATAGCTACCCACTATTTCGACACAAACATAATCAAACAATTATATACTTAATCAGAATCTTACTTTGTCCTCATTCTATTATCTCTAATGACTACTCTCAATGTATTTGCTATAAATAATAAGTAGGAAATTCAAATACATCTAGAATATGCTAAAATATTAAATAATTATTTGATCTTGCTTTGATAAGATATCTTACTATCAGAGAGAGCTAATAGATACTATATCAAATGTACTGAGACGAATTTTTACTGAATAGAATGATTAGATGCGTTTTCAGCGTTTTCTGAAAATTCGATTAGGTAGATATAATAGATATAGGAGATATTTGGCAAATGCAAGACATCCTCGACATAACTCGTTTGCTTACATAGTATCTCTGATAATTCGCACCAATGTACGGACATATCACTCTTGACAGCGAGGCACATCGGTGTGGGTGCCTTAGTGTTAGACACAAGAACAGATACATTCACAAAGACTCAGACTCAGACCCACACCATGCGATGTGCTGTGCGTGTATATTTATCTTTGAGTCGACGTCTTGGTTAGTCCTGTCGTTGCTTCCACACCAGCTGCGACGTGGTGTGCGTGTCTTTATGTTCCAGTTGCTGCCTTGGTCACTCCTTTCGGCGAATCCACACCAGGTGAGATGTGATGTGTGGGTGTATTTCTGATTGAGTTCCTCTCATGGTTAGTGCTTTAGCAGAACCCAACACAAGCTGTGATGAAGTGCATCTGTTTGTGCTTGAGATCTTGCCTCGATCAGCCGTTTCGTGAAACCCATATCACCTGTGATGTGGTATTTCCATGTTTCTGTTCTAGCGGTCCCCTCGGTCATTCGTTTCGCGGGACCAACGTCGTCGCCGATGTGGTGTCTATATTGCAGCTGGACTTTTGGTCTCGTTCATTCTTTTCACAGGATCCATACCATCATCTACGTGATATATGTGTTTGAGTTGAACTTGCCATCTCAGTCAGTCCTTTCCTGCAACTTCCACTTGCCGCAACATGGCCCGTGTGTGTTGGCATTTCAGTTATTCTTCTCTGTCAGTTCTTTCATGATACCTATGCTACGCGCGACGCGGTTGGCATATTTGTGTGTAAGTTGTGGCCTGTATCAGTACTTTCGCGGAACTACCATCAGTTAAGATGTGGTGCGTGTGTGTTTCAATTAGAGTTGTCGTGTCGATCACTACTTTCATCGCATCCATAACAGCTACTGTGTGATGTGTGTTTGTGCCTGAGTTGTTCGCTCGGTGAGCCCTTTCGTCGCACTCACACCAGCTGCAGTGTGATATATGTGTGTTTCTGTTCGAACTGTCATCTCGAACACTCCTTTCGCAAAGTCCATACCAGGTTCAATGTGGTATGTATGCTTGTGTTTACCTTACTCTCACGGCCAGGCCATCGGCGGCACCCACACCAGCTGCGATCTGCTGTGTGTCGTTTTTGTAATTATGCTCTCCTCACAGTTAGTCCTTTCACGCCACCCACACCAGCAGCAAAGTACTGTATGTCTTTGTGTGTTAGTTATCGTCTCGATCACCCCTTTCGCATATATGTAAAAGTTGAAACTCGAATCCAATTAAGTTTTGAAGTTTCAAGTTTCAACTGTGAAGATGAATTCGACTGCTTGATATGAGGGTGTGGGGAAAGAAGTCATAGCACGTCGCTCGATGTGGGTGCAGAAAAAAGACCATATGATGCGTTTTCAGCGTTTCCTGGGCACTTGAATGAATACCAGCACATCAGATACACAGATAAAGACATAGGACATATAGAGATATAGAGATATACGAGATACGGAAGGTACAGGAATCACCAACTAAGAACATTGGAAAAAAACTCTTCGAGCATAATTTCCTTACCTTCGAATCTTGAAAAAAGATGATTTTGAAGTGCAGCCGAATTCGCGGATATCTTGACAGTGTACTTCACCAACTATTGCAGACGTATCCAATCACATTGAAATCTTTCCCTCTCCAAACGCTTAGTGTCAAACAATTCTCAAAAAGTCTGCGTACTCCAATATGCCCCTTCCTTGTCAAGGGTGTGGGTGTAGATATTCTTTTCACCCACATCCACCCACACCCACACCCCCACACCAACACCCACACTCCATACTCACATTCACACCCTAGTCTGTATGCGAACTCCATAGACAAGGATCGTAAACGATTGTTTTTTAGTTCATATATCAACGTATTTCTCCGTATACGATCGTAAATGACCATGCTCATTCGACCTGAGAATTTAGTGTAGTCATCATCAGCTATGGAATAAGTACATTTTCGTTTTTGTCAGAATAAGATAGTAATAGCTGCCAAAAAGCAAATTTTCTTACCATAGATCAAGTCATTTTAATTAGAAAGCAAAGAAATAATATTTTTTTATTCCATTAAATCAGATCTATACATTCTAAAATTTCGTAAGTGTATTAAGAGCAATTAAGTTTATATGTAGGTAAAGTAAAAGAAAAAGTATTTGTTGCAAGGATATCGTCAATTATTCAGCTGATTGAAAACAGACATGTAGATGGATTAGACACGGTCGAATACTCTTTGAATACGATTTCCATGCTACTGTATTGAACTCTTGTCAAGTCGAATGATGTTATGTAGCTAGAGTTCTTATTCTTTGAATAATTCAGGAATAATTCGAAACCAAAATAACATGAAATATAACTCAATAGAATTACAGTGTTCCATATCTAAGAAATCGCGGGTGTCGGGGAGCAGTGTGAATGTGGGTGTGGCAGAATAATACATCCACAACCTTGTCCGCACATTCACACCACGGAATGAAATGTTTACTATAATATCCACCTAGTTTTTTGTTAATGAACAAAGACTAACACGAGTGGTCAATGAATAATTGGTCACAGCTACTGATGAATAAGGTTCAGTGTGAATCTTTCTTTATAATTATATCTACTCATTCAGCCAATTGACATAAAAGTTCAACAAAAATTTTTGAGATCATGATTGTAGAACTAAGTATGCATTTATTGTAGATTGATATAGTAAAAGAAAGCAAATAATGAATAGGTTTACAGAATTTGAGCTTGAAAATAAAGATCTACAACCTGTTGCTGGTTATTGGGCTTATGGACTGGTGTCACTTGAAGAGGCATTAAAAGGTTTCTTGTCTCAAATCAATGAACTAAAACGTTCCATCAAAGAAGCCAAGAAATATTGCAAGCAGCCATCACCGCATAGCCTTACGCGGGATGAAGCAGCTGCTTTGCTTCTATATACAATGGAAGCTGGTGATCATAGCTTCTATCGTATTTTAAATCAAGTATTAAGAAAAGAAGATCGAAAAGAAGCAATACCGTGGTTCAGTTATTTGAAATTATTTGATACGGCACTTAAAAAATTACCAAAAGTAAAAGGTAATATCTGGCGAGCTGTACCTGGAAATGTAACCAGTAAATATAAACCAAATCAAGTATTGACTTGGTGGACTGTCAGTTCATGTTCTACATCAGCTGACGTTGTCAAAGCTTTTCTCAAACCGAATCAAGAAGCAACGCTCTTCATGATAGAAGCAGTCAATGGAAAAGATCTGACTGGTTACACAATGTATCCCAATGAGAACGAAGTCATTTTGGGAGTTGGAACTCAATTACGAGTCAAAAATGTTGGATTTCAACATAATAATTTGCATTTAGTAGTTTTGACAGAAACTGATGACGATGATAATGATGATGATGATGATGATGATGATAATGATGATGATGATGATAATGATAAAACAGGATTAGCAGCAGCGGTCGCAACAACATACGTGACACCAAAACCATCCACATCAGTCAAAAACATACCATCTAGTAAGTCATCTATTTATTTTCATTCGATATGGTAGAACATCACAACTACATAAATTGAAATAAGTTATGGCCTGATGGAGCAGAGTTTTAGATGTTCTATTAAGTAACTGTAGTTACGTAGTAATTAATATAAAATGAATGTAAATATGCTCAATGGATCATTAAATTTCTATCGTTTGAATGAGAAAATCTATAAATATCTACTGTAGTTGATTATCATAATATATATATATGCATTTTCAATTTCACGTCATATGATTCGATTGACTTATATCGACTGAATAATATGAGATAGAAAAAAATGACTATCAAAAAATATAAATTTTGAAATTAAGGCCATTACTTAGTAAATACAAAATGACTTTCAATGTGTTTTAACCAATCATACATAATTAATAAAAATACATTTCATCCATCAATCTTTTTCTCATATTTTTTTGGGTGCGGGTATAGGTGTGAGACTTCCCTTTATCAGATTCACACCTCACGCTCTCAAAAATAAAATCTTGACAAGATAAAATACCATATATGCACCATTATTCGAATTATGAGAAATATCCAGTTTTTTCCTGTGTTTAGAACACATGTTTTCTTTTGTAAATTTCTCAGCAATGATAAGTGTAAACTATACTTCCATTATTCGATTCTCAATTGCAGAAAGCCATACGTTTAAGAATATTAACATTGACTTTCTTCTTCGTCATAGAACTTTGACACTCAAGATCAATAGTATGATTTCGTTTTTGGAAATATAGGAACCGAAGAATCCGGTTCTATAGGATTGTCTGTGACTATACAGAAAATATATAGAACATTGATATCTTCTACTAGAAAGTCTTCAAAGTCCTAAAAAAATGTTGCAAAGATATTGCAAATAGTAGACTTTTATTTTTTTGCAGTTATGAGATGCCTCAAATTAGAAAATACATATACTTGATTTATAGAAGATAATGGTAGAATAAATGGTTTTTTCTAAATAAAAAAAAAAGTTAGGTCATATTCGGCATCGTTGATATAGTACGACACCACTTTTGATTTTTGAATTTTCTCTCTCCATGTCATCATATCTTATTTTTTTAAGATTCTTGGACTCAATGGTAGCATTATAACGATTCTTAAATTCTTTACAAAATACCTACGACAAGTTTTCGATGAATGCATAGATGAATATTTCGTTTACTCGTAGTCTCAAAAATGACCTTTCTCCCTTTTTAAATTAATTACATTCTTTTGAATATTTTTGAAATCATCATTAACTTAAAAAAAGAATTATAATTAACGCTAAAACTTTTTATTCTTAGTACTAAATATATAACCTTCGTTTTTCTCCAATACTCGTGCTTTCTAACATAAGTAATTTAAAATGAATTACATACTTTTTGATTTGAATACAACGTTAGGGAATATACTCCGTTGGAACAAATTCTGTTGCGCATTATTTAATATATAAAATATATAGGAATATCATAGAAATAACTTCGACTTAATTTTGCTATTGTCTATTAGATAATACTGATGGGCAATCGAAGAACTTTTTATAGTTTTATTCGGAATCTCTTTGCATTGTTTCGTTGTGGATTATATCTATTTATCTAATACAAATGCTCATGATGTCATCATTGACTATTGATCTCTATCCTGGTCAATCTCTATCACTTTTTAGAGAACTCCTTTCAAATATTCTGTATATATATTTTGACATATGTATAAACAAAATCAAATCGAATAAAATTCACCAAACAAAAAATTGTTTTATACAATATAAACAATTTTAAATAGAATTACATTAAAAAAACTCGAATAGATTAGGTTCACAACAAAGAATCTTCTCTACTTTTCAAATCAGATAATGTCAAATCTAGAATTAGATACATATATCATGAGTGAATCAAAATGTAGATTTTTACTTATAATTTCCAAAAAGCAAGAACTATGCGATGTCGCTAGCATTTCTATGCTATGTAGTACATACTAGTAGCCACATCTATAAAACATGAAACGTACTCTTTTCGAACAAATTGTGAATTTTTTCAAGAGAATATGTCAACTTTTCGAAAAATATAGTAAATATAGGATCATTGCAAGTTCTAGTTCTTAGCTATAGTTTCTCTGATGGTATTGTCCTAAGATATCTTGTTTTTACGACAATACTGATGTTTTTTTTCTTTCTTGCTACACTTTTCTACTAAGTATGATAATAAATACTAAGCATAATAATTAGTTTCAATATATTCTAATCTCTTCTACCAAGTGATAAATATTCACTTGTCATTGGTATGTATTCAACGAATGGTAAAGTATAAACTGTACAATAGTACCCAACGTATTCTCTGCTATTAGTATAAAATTTACTCGACTAGAAATTTTGTGTAATCGTTGAAATTTTATATTATTTTAAAACGTACCTTTTCATATTTCGTACTATATGATTTTTTTATGAAGCTAATTCTATCATCTCTTTTGACAATTACAAAATTCGTATCATTTGCTGTATAAATAATATACGAGAAACTATGTTTACAAATAATCATTTTCTTGTGTCAATGTCAAGTTGTCAATGAGTGAATGTTAATTTAAATAATTGTACTTCGTATTTTAGATCTATTATCACTATGAAAGGGAATTTTTTTTAAAATAACGACGTATCCTGAAAACTCTTGGGGATTTCTATTATTCTGTATATATATGTTTTCGTTTGCAATTATATATCATGAAGATAAATCGAGTACAATCAAGGTATCTTTATCGTCAAACTTTCACAGACTTGATTTTTTCGATGTTGTTTAAATACGTTTTTGAAATTTTTCATTATCCTAGGATTATCTTTTTGAAAAAACAATTATATATTTGGACGAAGTTGAAAATTTTCTATCACTCTGCATATTTATCTAGGATGTTTTATCCATCTTTGAAACACTGATTTAAAAATAATGAATTTCAACATCATTGACAAGTATTCGAAATCTGCAGTTTTTTGGATGGTTTTTTAGTAGATTTCTGAAATTATAATACTTCTTGGAGCAACATTTAATAAAACAAATGATAAGTTTAGAAAGCGCTTGAAATTCTCTATCGTACGATATGGTTTTGCTTTGTCTTCCTTTCGTTTATTGTAGTATAATTCGAATAGTACGCAGATATCCTGTTTGAGATCGTCTAAAACACGGTAGAAATGTTTTAATATCTCTTCCATAGTTATTTTGAAAATTCAGAATAGTTGAGTATGCGAAGTAGTGTGATAAGATACAATGAATTTTTCGATTTCTTATGAGAGTGATTTACTTTATGCAAGAACCATTGCCTAACAAATGAATGCAAGACAATAACAAAAAATAATAAATAGGATAATACAGAATTCTAACCAACCTCGACCGGAATCTATTTTTTAAAAAGATATTTTGACATGAACATTTCTTTTTTAATTGTAAAGCCATAAAGATTTTTCCGATTGTCAGATGAAAATGTTCTCGACATTCTTTAATAATAAATAAGGTCACAATATTAAATATTTATACAAGATAGTAGAGAACTTCAAACTCTATGAAAATATATGAATACTTTTTTAAAAAGATAATTATTCTATAGTAATTAAAATCAGGCATCGAATTCTTAAACTAATCTATCTAAATGCATACGGGCAAAATCATTTGTTAGCGGCGTGACTTCGCAAAATTGAAACACATCTATCTCAGGATGGTAAACTTTTCTATAGCTAATTTTTATGTGTTATATGTATGTTAAGTTACTCTAGATCTCCTAAAAAAATCAGCCCTACAGACCTTTATTGAGAGAAGTTATCACTGAAAAACTAGCGTTAACGACGTGACTTAAAAAAGGACATCAATTTTCACGTTATACGGTTTAGTTTGAAAAAACTCCGAATTAAGACAGCATTTTTGGAAACTAAATAGTACATTTTGTAGACAATTCAAAGGGCTTTAAAACCATTATTCAAAGTTTTTTCGGAATATGCGCAGATCTTTTAAAAAATCGATTTATTTTTCGTTAGCGACGTGATAGAGTACGAATATACAAAAGAAAAATTACTCTTTGAATTGAATGGGAAGTACGAGACTAATTCGAAAAGGCATAAATCCTTCCTCGGAACCTCGAGATGATGATAAGATAAACATTTTTGTTTCAGGACTTGATGGAGTTTCTGGGGAGCCCGTCTTTACGAGGAAATTTTTTTTGGGTTCGATCTTGCTGAAAATTTTCTCATAAATGTGGCTCGGGTCTTGGAGTCTATCCTGAATTTTTTAGATTTTTTTCTCATACAGTTAGAGACATATTCACTAATTACTTCTTAATTAATTAATTAATTTTAATTAAGTAGCAGCTGGAAACGCCAACTGTTTTATATATGTCTATGTTAAAGTAATTTAGTCAAAAGAAACATTCGTGTAAAAAATTAAAGCCAAATGAAAGGGGAGTATGTCCTATTTTACCTGATTTTGCCCATATACAGTGTTCCAAAAGTTCGCCAGGAAAATAAATTTGAATAACTCCACTATTTATCAAAGTTAATGAACTAAATTTTTTTCAAATGATATTTACCTTTGTGAAGGTTTTTGATACGAAAAAATTTCATAAATACTGTTCACAGTTATTACTTTCGACTAAAGAACAAACAACAGTCATTTTTCGATTGCCAGAAAATCACTACACAGTGTTTCTCTTTTAACGCTTCAGTTTTTTGAATTTTTTTGTGGCCTTTATGATGAATCAGACTTGCACTGTCGTTTCTATGCATTTGTTTTGATATGTCACTATAAAGAGAATCTTAACGGTGTAAAGTCTGGAGACCATGAAGCTCATAAGATTAGTTCACTTCTTCCAGTTCACCACGCATCGTTCAGAAACATGAAACGATTTCATGCACTTTATGATCAACGAGTTTTACACCATTAGGGTTCTTTTCATAGTGACATATCAAAACAAATGCATAGAAACGACAGTGCAAGTCTGGTTCACCATAGAGACCACAAAAAAACTCAAAAAACTGAAGCGTTAAAAGAGAAACACTGTGTAGTGA